TGAAAGACATTCCTTTATTGTATGAAATGTACAATTCAGATAGTGTAGATGGTAAATAATACTAATATCATCACTGAGAGTGGATTGATTTCATAAGATATCAGGTATCAATGGATACTTAAATGAATCTGTGTTAAATGAATCGGATATCAATGAATTCGGTTCAGGTGTAAGTGAATTGTTGAATCCAATAGATCAATCAAATCGATCACTTACTCGAGAGTGCGTTGCTCGAGTGGGTTGATCATCGCTATAAGCGAATAACTACGGCATATGGCTGGGACATAGAGGCGCTGATTGTCCAGAGACCAAGCACCATCCTTTGGCACTACCACCGGATCCTGAGAGACACTTATGATTAGTCTCGTATTAGCAACAACTGATAGAACATGTCACAATACGGATCGCTTTGATTAAATCGACTGACAACATTCAACAAGATGAACTCACCGAATAATGGTTCTTCTCCCCGAACAGAATCCGTGGTGGATTCAAGACCCGAGCTGTGGTCTCGCACATCTTCGGACTGATTTGTAGACCGAATTCCTTTAAGAATGAATCTTTTTGGAATGCGGCCTGCTCACAGAGTGCCGCTATACGATGTTCACGTGCCGTGGCATCAACTGCGGCCGCCTGAAAACAGATTTACTTGCGATATTCCTTTAAAAGATGAGAATCAATTCTGTCACATGGAAATAAATCTTATGATGAGACAATGAATTCAATCTCATGCAAATGAATGACTGCAACAACACAATACACTGAAATGAATCAGAAGACATTTCGACTTACCCGAATAATTGCTGAGGTTTGTTTTTCGGTTAATTTCTTACTGTACTTCTGCGGTGTGTCCAGCATGCACACTTCAAGTGGGAAATAAATATTACGCGTTACTGGCCCGACATGAAGGCACGGTAGTTTCGGATACTTCAGTTCACCGTAGCGCTCTGTGAAATAGCCGGCCACGGTCATACGACGTTCGTTACCCTCTTCGTCTTTGCCTTGAAACCTGAAATCGCTCTTGCCATCCATATCAAACACTTAAGTGACAATGATAGTTACCAATTTCAGGCACTCATATCCAATAGACTAGAAATTCAGGTTTATGTAGGAGAAATCGATGCTAAGGAACTCAGACCTCTTCTGTAGGTCTCAGTTGAAACCATTTGCTAGTTGGTCTTCTGCAAAGAACTGGTAAAATCATTTACAAAGAGCTCTATCTCATAAATTTATTCTATTTCACGTATCAGTTCAACGTTTTCGTCCATACAAGACCAATGGAGTTCAGTTGCAATGACCCAGATGTGAGTAGGCAATAGCGATTTGGATAAACGAAGCAATCGCTACGAACCATAGCTGATCAGCAGGTAGCTGAAGACTGTTCACACGATATACACGAACCACACCGGCACGATGACATGTACGCACTTTGATACCCTTGACCGCTTCACCGAAAACCTTCGTCTCATGACTGCTCAACGAGAAACTTTTGTACAATTTGTCTGGCTGAAACTGATTATCTGATATATTAAACATCCGCGGAACCGTTCATTTGAACTTCAAGTGTCCATGATAAAACGGCAGTTAACGGATTATTATTTGGTTTACAGTATGAGAGGCTAATAAAATGGCTAATAAAACCCCACAGATTACGTGCAGTTCAGACCGAAACAGTTGAGCTGTTTAGGAACTCGACATTGTCTGATAGTAAGACTTGAAATCAATTATGAAATAAGAAGAATACAGACCGAAAGTGCTCCGGAACTTGGATCACCTGATGAGTAGTCGCGTCGTTGCTTAATATGTCTGCTATNATGTGGTACCTAAAACTAGTCTTGATCAGTTACTTAAGAACCCCATCATACGACGGCTCCAAATCATTCCAAATCAACAGATCGAGGAGTTGTGCTATTGAGACGGCAACTAGAACTGGAGACGATTATGCGGGTTTGAAAAGTTTCTGAAAAATTCCGAACAGAATGAACAAGAACCATTATGATGATGAGGATGCGGGTGATTCTGATGGTACAATGAATAGTTTCGATCATCTCTTGAATTACTGCCCCGATAATTACTGTTATGACCAGACCGTTCATTCAGTATATCACACATAAATTCAACCATCGATATATTCGGCTTATAGAATACGGTATGCGTTACTGAAATTTTTACCAATATCATAATTATGTCACTGTTAGTATCACTGATATCACTATAGTTATCACAATTTATTCAGTAATCCTCGTAACTGCAAAGAACTACGGCGTGGATCAGTTCTCAAACACGATAACCTGAACATATGACTAGTTATATTTTGATATGA